ACATCTGAAGCACCACTTGAACACCATCAGCATTGACAAAATCACCATCAGTCAGTTGCAAAAGGCAGCTGTACTTGGAACAGCTTCCATCCTGCGACGATCCCTTTAACACCACCCAACAACAACTTCTGCCTATCCCAGGTCCTTGGGAAGGACTCGATACGTGGATGCCAAATCCGGTCTAAACATCTGGCTGACTCCAACCATAACAAGCAACTTCTATTAGATAAGGAAAATGTGAATGAAATAGCCTTGGCCATTTTTGTTTTGTATGTCTTGCCTGCAAGGGCATTGAATACATGCATGTTAACATGTAAGAAAATAATCTGAGAAGTAATACAGGATCCAACTAGACATTTACCTAGTTCCGCAGTGATCAAGCTGATGTCTATCAGGAGCATTCCAGCAAGATATCAGGGCCTTACAAACCTGTTCGTGTTCTTCAGGAATTAGTACGAAGAGGCAATCTGCCTCTGACCTAGGAGGTAGGCTCATCATGATTAGTTGTTAATGATATTTTTAAGCTCCCCGTTTTTTCCTAATCCTTTTTCAAACCAAGTTTATGGTGATTACTACCTTTTGTGGTAACAATTCCCCACCTTACTTTTTGTTTTTAAAGAAGAAAATTGCTATCACAAAAAGTAATAATTTTTTAAAAAAATGTTTTTATCCCTTCTGAATTTCCTGACTTTTCAGATATATTTGGGGTCCTTCTCTATCATGTCACCTTTTTCTTCTCAGCCCCAAATCCTCAAACATAATATTTTCTTGAGGAAAAAAGATACTCTGACCTTTTGATCATTTTAGCTGCCCTTTTGTGGGCCTTTTCCGGTTGTACAATAACATTTTAAAGATGTAACCAGAACTATGCGTAGTATTCTAAAAGAGTTCACACCACAGATTTGTTTAAAGGCGTTATCATATTGGCCATGCATTTTACTTCATCTTTCTTAATGGCCCCAAACATGGAACTGGCCTTTTTCACAGCAGCTGTACAAACCAGCCAATCATATTTTAATCTAGCATTCAATATGTTGTGGAACCTTAAATTAAGTAAACCACGGTTCAGTTAATCATAGGAAAGTCTGATCTGTAACTATGACTACTGCCTTCACTTATCTACCAAACCTCCCTCTTACTACAATGGTAGGTAATTTGTAGCCTTGCTAATGTTGCTGAGTAATATAGCAGCTCTAGCCATCATGGCGTCAGTGTGGGATACTATGAGTTGTACTTCAGCTACATCTTGAGGACTACAGGTTCTCTTTCTCAATCTTACTTGGCCAGTCGTATCAGTATATATGTATATAATTCTAATAAATAGCTACCCTCTTCTTCCCCTGCCACTAAGGGAATTGTGCACTTCTAGGGCACTTTCATATCACTTCAGGACCAGCTCCAGACCAATCTGGTTTCACACCATCATCTAGTTTTGGGAAATGAGTCAAGATATTTCTGATTCTGCTCTGCTTTTCTTAAAATTATTGAAAAAAATGGTATTCTCCTTCAAACTGCCAATCATAACTATTCCTCTACCGTACCGCTGCAGAAGTTCAGCATCCTGTTCCTGGAACTAGTCTATTCCTTTATGTTTAAAACATTTTTTACAAGTTATCTGCTTGACTCCTCCAGTCCAGCTACTACTGGGGAAAGCACCCAACCGCAAAATTGCCAGCATTACTATCATTGCACCTTCACACCCCACAGGTGTTTTTAAATGTAATAAAGGAATGGCAGTAAAATACCTGGGAACCCCTGGGAGAGGTTTGGTGCTTTTGTTTATATTTTTTATAATCAACAACAGCCAGAAAAATGGACATAAATATATGTACTGAAGAACATGGATAGGGGAGAGTGTATTTTAATGTGAAGCTGAGGTGCAAAGGATATCTGTAACTCTGTGACCGGACAGCTGAGAAAATGGGGTGCTTGTTGATGATATCCTTTGCACCCTCCAATACTCTTGGTAAGCAGGAAGAAAAGAGGTCAGCACTACAGTAATTGGCTCATGGTGTTTTTATGTGTTCTCTACATTCTGGGGTCAACAGAAGTGAAGATGACTGCAGGTTGGATTCAAAGTGATTTCTAAGGGACTTTGGGTTGGAAATAGTTGTAGCACAGAAGTGCCTTGTGCAAGCTATTTTTTTCCTTCCACAAACTCTCTCTCTCTCACACACACACACACACCCAGACACACAGACTTTTACACTTTCTACCTATTTTTCTAAAAGAGATGGTGTAAGAACTAGCCAGTAGATTCTTAGATCCTTAGATTCCCTTTAAAAGATGGCCATAAATATGTACCATTTCCTAGACTTGTGTACAAATACCAAATCTTGAATAAACATTTAGTTAGAATATTACGAATTTCACTTTCGAGTTCATAATGACACATTTATAACCTTGTAATTTGTTTGTTGAGAGTTTTGCCTCTCGTCAATACTCTTCACTTTGTTTTCTCACTCTCTTCCTAAAAATAGAAGTTCAGGCCCAACATCTTCTGCAATAAAAAATTAAGTGAGCTTCTCTTCAACCTCATTTTCCTCCTCCTCTAATTTTCTTATCATCTAACTACCTAACCACTTTGTAAGTTGCTTGTTTCTGATCTATTTAAATAAAGTTCTTAGTATTACTGGCAACATGCATCTTACCTCCTTTGGTTCCTCCTCATTTTCAGTTGGACAAGACTTCTATTTTTTTGAATGGGCAAAACGGAGACACATTTTCTGAGAGCAGAAAGGCTGCAGAATATAGGGACTGAAACCAACCACATTTCAGATGTCCTGTCAGACCATTCCAGGTGGCCCTTGTTTCAGCAAAACAAAACCCAGTAGAATTTTTCTTGTTCTGGGGTTTAAGCTGAAGCAAAAGGGATCCCCGAGTCCTTTTATGGAGTAAGACAAGGCTGGCATGTCTTACCAGTCAGCCCCTCTTTCCCTTCAGCGGCTCCCAGCATGGCAGACTGTAAAGAATGAAGTTGGCAAGGCAGGAACTAGCACAGAGAGAACCCTTGTGACACCACTGAGCAGGTGCTTCCCAATCTCAGGGCCATGAAGAAAACAGCCAAAATTCCCTAGACTTGAAATGGAGGCCTAGAATTAAGATAGAGCTTTCATTTCTCTGTACTGCAGTAGGCGGATTCTCTGGGCTTATATGGATTCATTCTTATTTGCAATAAAGCCACGCCATGTTGGGAGCTTCTGCTCTAAGCAAATTCCTGAATGTGGAGTTCAGGGTCTGGAGAGCTGAGATTCATTGGTGCGTCTGGCATGAAGACTGACATCTCACTCACCCATCCACCCTCAAACTTTCCAGCATCTAACTTCTTTCCTTCCCTCCACTCCCACTGCCAATGTCCCAAAACAGTACATCCCTCTGGCCTGCCACCTTCCCAATATAGGGACATGTTATCCATACACAGAACAGAACAGCCCCATTTCAGTCTCAACACAGCCCATCTGAAACTAGTTATTCTATTCATTGAACAGTCCATGCCCCAATCATTTTGTGTATACCTAAAAGTGACTGTTTCTGATAAATATAGATTATAACATATCCAAATAATTATATGAAGACTGCAGTAACATTCCTCCTCTTTCCATTTCATCTCTCTACCCAACCACCCAGGTTAAGGAAAACAGCAAGCACTTGGAGAGGTTAGACACAGTACTGGTGACTGGATGGCCTCTATGTTGTAGAATGTAGTATAAAATATTTCATCACACATTTCAGTCTTCTATGAACATAGTCCCAAGTCATGTTTCTTGTCTGACATCTTTTTGAAAAGATTAGGTAAAAGGGGTTTCCATCTAATGATCCTCTGATAGTCACCCTACTAGTGGTGATAAAGAACCCTCCTTAAATGGGGGAAAAGACTGTTTTAATAGAAAAAGTATGGAAATGTATGCATATACACGCACAGCATGGCACAATGTTTAGACAGTGCACTGAATACAGAAGGAACAAACGGGATATTAGGCTTCAGCTTCTGATCCACAATGTTGTCAATCATAGGGCAACCCTACATAGCTGCAATTCTAGCTAAGGGATCCTAATGCATAAATGGCTCCAATCTGCACAGCTGTTTCCTAGCCATACAAATATGCATGTGAAAACCTTTAGCATGATGGACAGAATATGACTTGCACAGAGAAATAATGAACTTATTTGGTAAATTTATAATGGCAATTGCTTGGTAAAACTTATTTCATTTTTTTTTAAGTGAACAATAGTTAATGTAATTTATGCATTTTTCAACATTTTCTTTTGTGCTCAGATTCTAGCCTTGGAACTCTTAATTATAGTAGCATGTTGCTATGGCATCCAGGAGTTTTGGGTGTGGATATTGTATTAAGTTTTTATTCTTTGTAGATTTTGTTCTTAAACTTGTTCTGATTTAGGAAAAAAAATAAAGATTTCAAGTTTTCTATATGGCAGTTTGCTACTTTTCATATTTCTTCATTTCAAAGGTGCTCATATTTACTCTTAACTAGCATCACAGTTATCAGGTGTCATAACCACTAAACAGTCATCAGCCTGGTTTCTAGAATACAGGGCACGATCAGCTTGAAGGAAGTCGAAAGAGGCAGATGGGAGAAGTGGGAAAAGTACATCTGGTGTGTTTTTCAGGTAATGGGTATATTATCAGGAATGAGAACTTGCAAGAGAGATGTTATGATGTTGTCCAATTTTGGGTTCTTTTTTAGCTCAAAATGACAAAACTTGATAATTTATCAGGTTTGCATAGCAAAGAGTATAATATTTCCTTCCACGGAGTTTGATGACTGTCTAGTCTCATCACAACAGAACCTGTTTTCAATGTCTCTTCCTTTCAAGATTCATGAGCCACACTTTATAGAAAACCTTCCCCTTGAAGGTGTGGATAGCCCCGACCTTACTATCATTCTGTAAGCAGATCAAAACAATTTTAATCCAGCATGCATTCAGTCCTTAGATTATTTAACTTTTTATGATCTCATTTTAATTTTGTATAATGGTTTTTTTTGTCTTGCTGTTCTAACTTTGTACCGCACTTGAGTCTTCAGGATTGGGGCAGGCAATTAATTAATTAATTTAATTAATAATTAAATTACACATATTAAATTAAAATAATTAATTAATAATTTAATTAATTAATTAATTAGTTGGAGAATAAATAAATAGAATCAGAGCTAGAAAAACTGGCTGCAAGTTGTGCTATTCAGTTCATGCATTCAACAGGGTTAACATACTCTCCCAACTTAATATGCTCTGTCTGCTTAACAAAGTGTACATTGTGTACAAACTAAGCCACTATGGCTTGTTTAATTAACCATAATTTTAAAAATTCTGGCTTAACATTATATATAAACATCACCACTCACATTCCTCTCCCTCCCTACCTCTCTCTACACAAACACACACAAACACCCATTTTAGCGCCTTGACTCTGGATATTACAAAAAAATGTTCATCATTGTAGTCAAGGCAAAATTATAGAGTGTAAACAGGAAGCATTTGACATTTTTCAAAGAAAAACCAGTCATTTTTCAGAGTAAAACCACAGTCTTAGAAGTGAGAAACTTTGTATGTAAAAGTTATGAACTGAACTTACTGGTTTTTTTAAAAAAAAACACCACTTTCGGAACATATAAGAGACACTGCACTTTATGCAGCCATTAAAATATCATTTTTAAAAATGCTGTTAAACCCAATCACCATTTTTTCATGGTTTAAGTTGTAATATTCATATAAAGCTCTATGTTGATGGATTCCAGTCCTATCCAGCAGATAGCATGGATCCAACATCAGAGAATGGGGCTTATCCTTCAGAATGAAATGTCTTTCCAGAAACCACCAATCTAATTAATTCTGTAGGAGGCTTTTTTCAACTAATTTCAGATGATGAGGTTCAGGGAAGGGGAGGGCATAGATGAGTAGGCATTTTTGCAGATTCAGTGAGCTTCAGCTCTGTTATGGGGCTCATCCCTTCATAAAGGAATTATACAAAATGCAAAGGGGCATCACGGTGCCATCTTTTTACCATTTACAATAACTCCTATACAACAAAATCTTACTTTGGATAATCAGTTAAAATTGTTATATTTACAGGGACGTTAATAAGGTATTAGATACCAATTGAAATCCTATGTGTTTAAATTGCACAGTGGGATTTACTTCTGAGCAGGCAACATTACAGGGCTGAGAAGCTATGTAGGCCCAGGTCTAATTAATACTCGGATGGGAGAGCGCCAGGCAGTGCCACAGCTTTAAGTTACACTAGAAAGTTGAAGAAAAATTCCAGAAGAAACCAATGGCAAACCACTTGCTCTTGCCAAGAAAATTGCATGGACTGTCCATGAAGTCATCAGGAGTTGAGTTCTTTCAACCTAAACTTTCCTAAAATTTCATTAGAAGACACAGATGTAGGATTGGTTGTGCAAGCAAGCTCCAAGATACCAAACCTGCTAATATGTGATGGTGATAAACAGATTACACCTACCAATTTTGAGACTTCCAACTTTTATCAACTGAAATGCATGTTCCTTAATCATTTGTTTGGTTGTAGAGAAGTTATTTAGAATATTAAGAGCATAAGTTTCTCACAGAAATGGGGATTCTGCCTGCAGCATACAAGAGGTCAAAACCCACGGAGCCATTTGGAGGCAATACTAAACAGTATTAAACCAAGTATCATGCGTGTGCAAAAGGGATTTGTGTAACCAAGACTGAAACAATGAGAGGCTACATAAACATTGTGTGTGAAGGAGTATGAATATATGACAGATGTGTAAGTAAACAATGCAAAAATGGTGAAAATGTGTGCAAGAAAGAATATGAAATTATTAGAATCTGTTACTAGAATAGTGGTTACACTAGGTGTTGGATCAGGAATGAAGGAGATCCAGCTTCTAGATTCCTCCGTCCCCTCCATTCACCCTTTAATTTTCTTGACTCTCTTGGATAAAATGAGAAGCTCTTATCAATGCCACCCGGAGCTTCCAGATGAAAGGCAAGGTAAATGTGAGGGGTATGTGTGGGGGAATTACATATGGGGAGCTTTATCCAGACATTAAGTAAAATGGGACTGCATTCCCCATTCTTTTGAATAAATAGAACATGCAAGCAACCCTTATGCATCATTTTAACACAAGTTGTTGGCCTGAACCTCTTGAAGTGACTGGAGAAAAGATACAGGCAGTCCTCACTTAACAATGGCAATTAGGACTGGGATTTCCATCACTAAGCAACATGGTTGTAAAGCGCAATGTCACGTGACTGCACCACTTAGCAATGGAAATTCTGGCACTTCTGGTTGCTGTTGTTAAACAAATCACCACAGGTTGTTAAGCGAAAATATAACATTGATTTTGCTTGTAGGAAGCTGACAAAGGAGGTCAGAAATGGTGATCATATGACCATGGAACACTGCAACACTGCAATTCATTGCAAGACAGCATGGACTGCCTGGATTGTGATCAAGTGACCACAGGGGTGCTGCAATGGCCATAACAACCACTCATTCAGGCTGTTGTAAGTTCAAATGGTAGCTGTACAAGTGGTCATTAAAAAAGGACCACCTGTACAGAGAAAACAGGTATCCAAAACTATCCACTCACCCCTACAAAGCTTACATACATTTCTTTCTTTCTGGAACATTAAAAAAAAAAAGTATTGGTTACTCTGACCCTGTTTGTGGTATTATGCCAGAATGGGATCTGCTTACATATGCCACACGTATGCATTTTATATGTACACACACATACATACGCGCACATGCAGGCATATTTTATATATATAAAACACATGCACATATAACTCAGTACCTAAACATACACATTGACTGGAAGGTGCACACAGACCAAGTAGGCAGGTACACGGAGGCGTTTAAGTTATCCGCGCGCGCGCACCCAAGCTACACATCCTATTGAGGCGCGCACATCTAATTCCACCTTTATTGGTAAATAAGGTCAGGCGGGCCCCGCCACCTGGCTAGAGGAGGCAGACACCGCGGAAAGGAGGCGCGGCGGCGGCGGCGGCACTGCGGCTCTCCCACTCCTCTCACCCCCTTCCAGGCGCGC